AGGAATGAGGCTCCACAGTGAGGGGAATGGTAACAGAAAACATGAGATGTTTCCTCTGTTTGCCCACTTCTGATTTAGGACCAGTTGATTCTGAGCTCCAAACTTGTGCTCATGGCAATCAAAAGTCAGTATTTTGGGAACAGCAGTTGGTGTAATGGCTATGTTGCTGGACTCCCATGTAGTCAACTGTGGTTCGAGTCCCGGACCTGGTGGCTTCAACTCACGCTGGGCGCGTGTGCATACGTGCCCAAGATCCCAAGAGAAGAATGGAGGAGAAGAGACTGCAGTGTGGTCATCCTCCCCAGGGAGTGATTTCTCGCTTTCTGTCTCTCTGTCTCTCTCTGTCTTTCTAGTGAGCGCACGTGCCCTATAGCAAAAACCTCTCCAAAAAAAAAAAAGTATTTTTTTCTGTCCTTGAAGTTTGCCAACTGGTGCCAGGTGCACCTTTTAGTTGATGCACAATTATGCATTAATAGATGTTTGGATAAACAGTACAACTCACAAACCTGACCCCAACCACTGCTCCCTGGCATTGTGTCAGAGTTTACAAATTTTCCAGATTTCCTAATAAAAGAAATGACCATAGAAACAGAATTTAAAAGGTCATAAGGCTACTTTGCTCAACCCTAGAAAAATAATTTTTAAAACTTCAATTAAATGAATTATATTCTGGGAAAACATAATTTGACAAAACTGATCCCAGAAAAAATTAGAAAATCATAATAGATCAATTTCTGTGGAAGGGCTATTTCCATTTAAAACAATAGCAGTAGCAAGCAATCTAGTAGTTTAACAGGAGAACTCCATCAATTTTCCAAACACTTTAATGAAGCAAGTTTAACACTGATACCAAAACCTGACAAAGATTACACAAAACAAGAAAACTTCACATCAACCCCTTTCGATTTGGTGTGGAAATCCTAGACAAAAAGCTGTTCAACAGATTTAGCAATGCACTGAAAGACCAGTGCACCACGGCTAGGAAGCTTTTTCCCAGAAATGCAAGGATGGCTCATTACTAGGAAACCCAGAGTATCTTGTTTCCTGTGAAGAGCTCTAAAAAGAGAGACTAAATTATCTCCATAGACGGTGGGAAGAACTCCTAGCAGCTGACCACCCTGAAATCCCCTGGCACCAAAGAACCTTGACAACGTCATGCCATGGCCTTGAGCCAAATGTGAGATCCAAGCCTTGGAATGCAGGTACACAGGAAGAAAACACAGGTGGCAGTGCCCCAGTATATGTGTGTGTGTGTGTAAGAATGTGTGCATACACATGTGTGAGTGCATGTCAGTGTGGTATGAGAGTATGTGTGCACACATGCAGCCATAGTGTGTGATGAGAGCAGGGATGGTGTGTGTAGAACATGTGTGTGCAAGTGCGGATGAATGTGCAAGTAGTGTATGTGCACCTGCATGTGTGTGATGTGTAGTATATGAGACAGTGCATGATGTGTGCATGTGCACATATGCTCTGCAGTGTCAGAATGTACACATATGAATGTGCTTGGTGTGTGAGTGTACACTGAGAGGGCAGGGCAGGAGGAGGTGGTGAACCCCTAAGGACCACATTCTGAGAGTACAGGTGTGGCACAAAGTGGGCTCACCCTCTAAGGCTGTCATCGAAGGGTCCCCATGTCCTTGAGTGGCCATGGTCTGTGCCTCAGTTGCACAGCCACTTCATGGGCCCTGAGCATACCTAGAAACCACAGCCTAGGGAGCTGAAAGTCCTGGAGCCCAGGATGTAGGCTGTACTCCTCCCTGGGAGCCCTCGGGTATCTGGTTGGGAGGGTGTGGGTTAAGGGCCACCCAGCAATGAGATGCTGGCTCTCCTTCCCATCTGCTTGGTTTGCTTTTGAGCCACCTGTGAACACCTCTGCTGGCCTGCACTCACCTCCAGGAAGCGAGCTGCTACAGCCTGGTCGTCCTGGGTCAGCACCAGGTTGTCCACAAACATCCAGAAGAAGGGCTGCGGGCTGCCGGGCCTGGGCCTTGCATACTGGAGGAGCCGATGAAACTGGAACAGATACCAGCCTGGGACAGGAGGAGCTCATTCAGAGCAGCAGTGTGGGAGGAGAGCAGGAGTGGGAGGGTGGGGCCTGGGGCCCTGGGGCAGGGGTAGGAACAGCTATCTGCCCCCTTCACAGTTCTGCCCCTGCCAGCAGCCACAGAGGCTCAGGCAGCAAGGCTGGTTTCTGAGAAGGCACGGAGGCAGAGGAAACAGTGCAGCTGAGGGGACGAGGCTGACTGCTCCAGAGCTAATGCCTTGTAGATAAAACTCCAGAAGTGCAGAGGTGCAGTTCTTCTAGAGGAACATGAAGCCTCGGAGGCTTCCTAGAAGAGGGACTAGGGGAGTACCAGGAAGGAGGAAGATTAGGGAGGATGTGAGGAAGCCTCTGGAGGTGATGGGGATGCTCACTCCCTTGACTGGGGTGCTGGCCTCCCTGGTGTACAATTATGTCAAATGCACCAAGTTGCACATTGAATACGTGCAAGTTATTCAGTAAGTGAAACCTTCATTAAGCTTTTTTTTTTTTTTAAATTTCCTTGCTGAGGGGGCTGGAATGGCATGGAGGGACATGGGGACAGAGAAGAGGAGATAGGACTGGAGACAAGATGCCAGGTAACCGGAACCACCACAGTCGGTTTCTTGAAGCATCTCTTACCGGGAGGATGGTCACGAGCGTGGCTGGGGGAAGGTGTCGAGCCATATACCAGGTCAAACGGGCCCCATTCTTCCACCTGTGGGACACAGGCACAGTGGAGGACATGCTCCAACAAGAGGTGGGAGGCACCTTGTACCTCTCCACACATGAAATGTGCTGCAGCTGGCCCTCAGCTCACAGGGTCCCCACACAGGCTTGGAAGCCCCAACCTGGAGGACATGAGGCCCACCAGGGTAGAGCCATTCTCAATCACAGAAGCCCTCAGAAATGAGCTTGGAGCCCAGAAGCTCAATCATCTGAGAACACACCATCTTTGAGCTTATTCCTCTGAGCTAGGTATTGTCCTTAAAGAACCAGCCCTGGGGGACCAGCAGTTAGCGTAATGACTATGTCGCTAGACTCCCATGTAGTCGACTGCGGTTCGACTCCTGGACCCGGTGGCTTAAACTCATGCCAGGTGCATGTGCATGCGTGCCCAAGATCCCAAGAGGAGAATGGAGGAGAAGTGATTGTGGTGTGGCCATCCCCCCTGGGGGGTGATTTCTCACTTTCTGTCTCTCTGTCTCTCTCTGGCGAGCACACACACTCTATAGCAAAAATCCTCTAAAAAAACCCCAACCAAACAAACAAAAAACCAGCTCCATGGGGCCAACAGGTTGCATGGTGGTTAAGGCACTGGACTCTCATATGGCTGTATGCAGTTCAAGTCCCAGACCTGGCAGCTTGATACTCATGCCAGGCATGTGTGTGTTTGCATGCCCAAAATCCCAGGAGGAGAATGGAAGAGAAGGGACTGTGGCATGGCCATCTCTCCTAGGGGGTGACTCCTCACCATTCCTCTCTCTGTCTCTCTCTGGGAACACACATGCCCCATGGCAAAAACTGAAAAAAAGAAAGAAAGAAAGAACCCCCATCGGGGGCGGGCAGCAGATGCCACGGTGGTTGAGACGGCTGGATCCCAAATGGCCAGCTGCACGGTTTGAGTCCTGGACCTGACAGCTTGAGAGCAATGCCAGGTACAGGTGCATGTATGTCTAAAATCCAGAGAAGAGAATGGAGAAGGGACTGAGGTGTGGCCTTACCCCCTTAGAGAGTGCTGTCTCCCTCTCTGTCTCTCCTCTCTCTGGTGAGCACACAGAATCTATTGTAAATTAAAAAACAAAACAAAACAAAACAAAAACCACCCTGGGAGGGTCAGCAATGGGACTCCCCAGGGATGTCAGTGACTCTGTGTGACGTCTGGGAAAACACAGGGCAGGCCCCAACAGCCAGCAGTCAGCAGCTGGGAGCTAATGCCAGGGGTGTAAGAGAGAGAGAAAAGGAAAGCAAGAAAGCAAGCCATCAGGTCAGGGACTTGAACTGCTTTCAACCATGTGGGAATCCAGTGCCTTAACCACCATGCCGTCTGCTGGTCCCTCCCTAAGGGCTCTCTTGCAAGCCCTATCTCATCTTGGTGCTGGATAGAAGACGCAGTACTCACGTCCCTCCTCACTACATTAGTGACGTCATCCAGGTGCTTCAGCCTCCCCAGGTCAGAACCATGTTCCAAGAAGCCCAAACTCGTCAGCTCTGGATGGGGAGACACAAGGACATAGAAACACTGATGCTGATTCTGCCCTGTCACGTCAGAGCAGGAGGAACAGGAATGAAGCCTTTGCTCATGATACGTAAACGAGCCGACTTCACCAAGTTCCGCTCGTGGAGTCAAGCTGCTTATTGCAAACCCAGCTATGCCTGGGCTGTGATGTCACTCTCTGGGATAGGAACCCCACTGGCAGTGGGGACCATGCTGAGGGTATCTGGACAGGCTGAGTAACTGGGGATGGGGTGTCCAGTAACTGGCCCTCCATAATGGCCCTGGGAGGTCTCCAAAGCAGAAAGACCCAGGGCAAGCAGGCCCTTGCTCAGTGTGTGTTTCAGGCTCCTCCTTCTTAGCACAGGGCATGTGAGGACACTGAGGATCCTGCTTCGAATGGGACGTGTCCCCTAGTGTGTGTCATGTGGATTCTCCTCTATCCGCTGGGCCCTGAACATTGGGCAGGGTTTCCACAGGTGCCAGCAGGTGGGGTCAGCATGGCCAAAGGGGCAGGTTGCCAGGTGAGGCTACACCACAGCAGTGGCTGGTCTGGCTATAGCTGGGAGATTTCTGGAAAGATGGAGGATGCAGGGTGTCCTGGGAGGGGTGAGGAGATCTCTCGAGACTGTCAGGTATTTGAGGCTTCCAGGTGGGCCCCACACCCTACTAACAGGTTTAGGTTCCCAGGTGAACTTTCTCTGTGTCCTCTTTTCCAAGCTCCTCTGTAGGTGACCCCTGCTTTCCTCAGTGGCCTTCCCTCCCTCTCCATGCGTCGTCACAGATGTATTTCTGGGGCTGCTAAGTTCCCTGAAGGGCCACGACAGGGACCTGGTGAGGTCTTTTCTATGCTCACCTCCCCACACACTCAGTGGGCCCGACTGCAGGGACATCCTAGGTCCCCCCACCCCAACCTTCTTCCCTTCCTCACCCCAGGAAGTCACTACACTTACCTTTCTTTTTTCATTTTTATTTTTATTTTTATTCTTTAAGAGAGATTTTTGCTGTAGGATACATGTACTCACTGGAGAAACAGAGAGACATACGGAAATCACCACGCAGGGAGGAAGGCCACACCACAATCCCTTCTCTTCCATTCTCCTCTTGGGATTTTGGGCACACACGCACATGCACTGGCTTGAGTTTAATCGTGTTGGGTCTGGAACTTGAACTGTGGCCGACTACGTGGGAGTCCAGCGATGTAACCATTATGCCATCTGTTGGTCCCACACCTACCTTTCTTGATGTTCCCAAAAAGAGACAGCACCCGCACTGGCTGTCTCTTCCACACAGGCACGGTTTCATACAGCTCCAAGGGACTCTCCTATTTATTTAAAAATTAAAATATAAAAAGGGGACATGAGCCTGCAAGTTGCAGTGAAGCAGAAGCAACTCCATCTTTGAACTTTACGTTATACTTGCTTCTTCCTTTTGCCCAGGGTAAATAGAGTGATTAATAATCTTACTGTCTTTGCTAACCAGCCCTTTTGTTTAGCTGTTCCTTAGCAGTGTAACTACCAGTCACCAGAGCCCTGCCCAGAGCCATGGGGACCACCAAACAAAGGTCTGGAGAAAGTCCTTAGAAATGATTAACCGGCTTGATCCAGCTTCGGTAACTGCTGTCGCATGGAAACCCATTCCTCTTCACCTCCTCCTCATGTTCCGTTGTAATCACCATGCCAAACCAGAAATGACTGTGAATTTTGCCTTTATAAGCACCCCTCTCCTTTCACTTGGGGCTGTGGGGACTCTGAGAGACATGAGCCCTTCTGTAAGCCAACGGCTTAATCAATGAAAGTCAATAATCTGTCTATGTCTGCTGTCCTCTTATTTCTCGCTGACTTGACTACAAGCGCAGTAGCATTTCTTCCTGGGACAGCAGCCATCGCCCCTGAATGAGTGGGCACACCTGAGCACACTGCCGAGGCTGGTTACCCACCCCCCACCCCGTCCCCACACCGGCTGACTGTGCCCCAGGCTCACTCCCACCCACACCCACCCACAGCCTGGCTGTCTCTACCAAAGGCAGAGCAGGGTGTGAGGGTTCCTGGCATCCAAGCAGGATACCACCACCCCACCAAGAAAGATGTCCATGCTCCTCAGGGCAATTCTGCCTCCCCACAGCGGGGGGTGTGTGTGTGGTGGTTCATGGTCACATCCATCTCCCCCCTGTGCCCCATCTGTTGCACCCCATCTGCCCCTTGTGGCCTGAGGATGTCTGAGAGTTGCCCAAGGGGAGGCATTCCCAGACCAAGGACTGGGAGGGAGCCCACTGCCCACCGCAAAGGAGCCACACCAAGGACAGACACAGAAAATACATTAGTCTAAGGCTGGTGGGTTGTGTTGGTGTGGAGTCAGTGCCTGGTCCCCCCGCCCTCCCTTCCAGGATGCAGGACTGGACAGAGGAGAGTGAGTTCATTTGTAACTAGCACCCAGAGCCCCCACCTCACAGGAGGCCACACTTGAGGACCACCTGGCAGAGGGTAAACAAAGAATCATGAGGAACGAGGCCTAAGCAGGGCACAGTTGCCTGCCTGGGCATCCAAGGGAGACCCCACGCCATGTGTGGAAGCAGATGGGACAGAGGAGTCTGTGGGCTCGGGGAATAGCAGGGTCTCAGCTGTCCTCAGAGGAGCTGGGGGTGAGGGGTAGGTCTTGACTTGGTTGGCGGTTCTTGGTTGGCAGCTGCCTCTCTGGCGGCTGCCATGGACCCTGTAACAA